AGCAGTCACCTCAGCCTCCCAAAGGCGCGGGATTACAGGCTGAGCCACCGAGCCCGGCTTATATGTGAACATTTCTAAAGCATTTGCATTATCCTTCTGATGTAAATGTTTAAATCTCTAATTGCTTTCAAGAGAATAATCTCTATACTTATGATCAAATCATAACAAAAAATAATGGAGTGGAGGGGAAAAAAGAAAGGTATAATCGTGGCTATCTAGCCAATTCACTACTTTCTTACCATATGCTTCAGGATCCTTCCTTTTTCTGACTTATGTAGCATTATACTTCAGCGTATACTTTCTTGAAATGGTGAACTCCAGGGCTTGCTCTCCTGATTTAAAAGAAAATAGGAAAGTGGCTATTAGAAAAAAACTCAATACTGAAGGTACTATTAAAGAATTTATTGCCAGGCTCGGTGGCTCAGCCTGTAATCCCACGCCTTTGGGAGGCTGAGGTGAGTGGATTGCCTGAGCCCGCGGGTTCGAGACCCACCTGAGCAGCGAGACTTCATCTCTACAATAAATCAAAAAATCAGCCGGGCGTGGTAGCGCATGCCTGTAGTTCCGGCTACTTGGAAGGCTGAGGCAGAAGGATCACCGGAGCCCAGCAGGCCGAGGCTGCGGTGGCCGGGAGCGGCCACTGCACTCCAGTCTGGGCGACAGAGTGAGACCCAACTCAAAAAAAAACAAAAAACAAAAAAGAATTTATTTACTGTCCCCTATGAAAGGCTTCTCTTGTGTCTCTAAGGTGACTGAAGAATTTACTGTCTACACAGAGACAGGGGGACTGTCAACGAACACCCTAGGACAACAGGTGTATACAGGTGTAAACTCTCGCAGGCAAATCATCCAGACAGATGATGCTGACTTACATGCTCTAGGAGGGAATAAAACAAAACACTCAACCATGGACAAGCCCTTACTTTTTAGAGGTATATGCAGTACTGAGATATTTATAGATGAAATGATATACCTGGAATTTGCTTCAAAATAAACAGGATGGCTGGACTCAGTGGCTCAGCCTGTAATCCGCGCCTTGGGAGGCTGAGGTGAGTGAACTGCCTGAGCCCGCAGGTTTGAGATCCGCCTGGGCAACTTGGCAAGACCTCATCTCTACAATAAATTTTAAAAAAAAATTAGCCAGGCGTGGTAGCGCACGCCTGTAGTTCCAGTTACTTGAAAGGCTGAGGCGGAAGGATCGCCGGAGCCCAGCAGGTCGAGGCTGCAGTGGCCAGGAGCAGCCACTGCACTCCAGTCTGGGTGACAGAGTGAGACTCCAACTAAAATAAATAAATAAATAAACAACAAACAGGATGAGGGTGGTGAGGAGTGTTGGGAGGTAGAGATGAACCAAGATCAGCCATGAACTGACAGCAGGTGACACTGATTGATGGGTGCACTGGAGGCTTATTATATTGGTTTCTCTGCTTTTGCTTACGTTTGAAATTTTTCATACCAAAAACTCAAAAAAAAAATACATAGAGTCTAAACAAAAATGTTTTAAAAGGCATTTGGAGACTGACTATACTTAGTCTACTATTCCTAATGCTACCAACTTACATATAAGCAGAACTGGGATAGAAACAAATGTTCTCTAACAAGATAACCATGATTCAAAAGAATATAAGGGGGGAACGAAAAAAAAAAAAAAACCATGGAATTGTCTTTTTGAAGGGTGAGTCCCTTGTAGTAGATTCAGAATTTGTTCCTCCAGATCAAACAGTCAACCAAAGTTTTTATCTGGGAGTTTTGAGAAAGCTGCATCACAATTTATAGAAGAAACGGCTCAAACTGTGGCATGCAGGTGACCGGTTCTTCCACCATGACAATGCACCGGCCCACACTGCGCTGAGTGTTCAGCAGTTTTGTTTTGTTTTGTTTTACCAAAAATTGGACCTCTGTGTCCCACCCTCCCTATTTACCCAATCTCACCCTAACCAACTTTTTTTTTGTTTCCCTAGATGAAAAGAGTCCTCAAAGGGAAACATTTTGCTGATGTGGAAGTACTAAAAGGCATCAAAATTGACAAGTTCAAAAACTGTTCAGCAATGGAAAAAGTGTCTTGACAGATATATTGCATCAAATGGAGAGTACTTTGAAAGTGACTAAAGTTTAAACATGTAAGACTAAATACACAATTTTTTTATAAATAAATTCTGGGTTTTCTTGGGGTCCCGTTAAGTTTCATCTCTTTTAGTAGAATAAGACAAAATGTGGTCAATGTCCAACTGCATAAACTTCCTTTCCTAAACAACTAATTAAATTCTTTCAAGTGCCAAAGAAAGTGTAAACTCTCAGAATCAGTTCTGTCATTATCTGGAAAAATGTCAATGCAAGTATAAGTATCCAGAAATAAAAGTCACTGTAACACTGATAAGGAGCAATCTTCAGAGTTGTTTTGTTTTTTACTCCAAATATACAAGTTTTTATTAATCTCCAGTCACCTGCCACAGCATTTAATGCCTTCATTCCTGTCCTCTGAAATGCATTCTATATATAGCAACCAGGATCATCTTAAAATGTGAGTTAGACCACGTCTCTCTCCTCCCTGAGCATTTTCTTTTTCTTTTCTTTTTTTTTTTTTGGAGTTGGAGTCTCCCTCTGTCGCCCAGACTGGAGTGCAGTGGCCACTCCCGGCCACCGCAGCCTCGACCTGCTGGGCTCCGGTGATCCTTCCGCCTCAGCCTTCCGAGTAGCCGGAATTACAGGCATGTGCTACCATGCCCGGCTGATTTTTTGATTTATTGTAGAGATGAGGTCTCGCTGCCCAGGCAGGTCTCGAACCCACCGGCTCAGGCAACCCACTCACCTCAGCCTCCCAAAGGCGCGGGATTACAGGCTGAGCCACCGAGCCCGGCTCCCTAAGCATTTTCAATGGCTCCCCACTGTCCTGCCAGGCCCTTCACATCTATCTCACTTGCCATCGCTGTCCCCTTGGGCTCACTTTCGTTCCACTGCCTCCTTTCACCTCCTCAACCACACCAACCTTCTCACTGCCTCAGAACCTTTACACCTGCTGTCCTTCTCACCCGCAGTGCTCTTCCCCAGGCATTTCCTTGGTTGACTCTTTCTCTTGTAAGACCTTTCAGTTCTTCATTTTCTGGACATTCCCACCTAAAGTAGTTTTCTTATGCCTAATGCTTTCCGGCAATGACCTATTGATTTCCTTCCTATCTTTTGATTTACTTATTTATTCCCTATCTACTCCATCAAAGGCTAATCCTTTAGGACAAGGGTCTCATCTGCTTAGATCACTGCTACATCACCAACAACCAGTACAGTGCTCTATAAATATTAGTTAAATGAATGGATCATATCATTGATCACTTACGCATCCAGCAAACTCTCAATTCTCCCCTTAATTTCCATGAAGCTGTACTTTTTTGTGTTCCACCTATTTCTTTGACTCATTCTTCCTTTCTGCTTTGCTGGTACCCAGTCTTCCTCTTAACTCCTACTGAAAGCATTCCTCAAGACTCTCAACATAATCTGCTAACAAACCCACTGACAAATAACACTGCAAAATAAAAAGAGAATTTCAGAGCTAGGAGGAGGCTTGATGGCCATATGGACTTGCAGCTAGACTACCTGAGAATTCGAGAATGTTACATAATTCCTCTGGGTCTATTTACTCCTTTGTAAAGTGATGCTGAAAGTCCCTACCTACCACCAGCGTTCTTGTATAGTTAAACAATATATTACAGATAAAAGAAAATTGTGAGACACAGCCAAAGCAATGCTAAGAGGAAACTTTTATGCATGAACTCTTTGAAGGCCTGCACGGTACCTCATACCTATAATCACAGCACTTCGGGAGGCTGAGGTGAGAGGACTGTTGAAGCCTGTGGGTTCAAGACCAGTCTAGGCAACTTGGTGAGACCTCGTCTCTACAATAAATCAAAAAATTAGCCGGGCATGGTGGCGTGTGCCTGTAGTTCCAGCTACTTGGAAGGCTAAGGTAAAAGGATCACCTGAGACCAGCAGGTTGAGGCTGCGGTGGCCGTGAGCTTGTCATTGCACTCCAACATGGGTGACAGAGTGAGATTCTGACTCAAAAAAAAAAAAAGGAGGAAAAGTCTCAAAACAATAACCTACACTCCTACTTCAAGAACCTAAAAAGAACATAAACATAAAGAGATCAATGAAATCAATAACCAAAAAATGAGAAAAGTAAATAAAGACATTTGTCAACAGTTTGACAGACCTGCAAGAATGACCCCCTCCCCCCAAAAAGAGAGAGAGAGAAAAGACACAAATTACCATCATCAAGAATGAAACAGGAGCTATCACTACAGTCCTGCAGGCATCAAAAAGATAGTAAGGGAAGACTACAAACAGCTCTACACACATAAATGAAATGAACCAATTCATGAAAAAACACAAACCACCACAGCTCACCCAATGTGAAAGATCATCTGGATTAGTTTTATAACTATTAAATAAAGACTTTGTAATTTTAAAACTCCAAAAAAATAAACCTCCAGTCCCAGATGGTTTCACAGAAGAATTCTACTAAACATCTAAAAAAAAAAAACAAAACACTTATTCTACACAATTTCTTCCAGAGGTGGGAAACACTTCCCAGTTCATTTTATAAACATAACATTACCCTGTTACCAAAACCAGACAAAGATAATACCAACAACAACAAAAGAAAACTACAAATACCTCTCACGAATACAGGTACAAAAATAATTAACATATCAGGGAATAGAATTCAGCAATATATAGAAAGAATTATAACATATTTAAGAAGGGAAGTATTAAGTAGAGAAGTGTTACTTTAATATGGTTCATCCTATCCAGAGGCATAAAAATTCTATCCATGTATTCCTATCTTCCTTTATTTCTCCTACCAAAGTGTTCTGTCATTCTTACCCCCCTCTCCATATCTCATATTACGTCAGTTTGTGCTTCATGCTCCTCAATCACCACCCTACTGGTGTCCATCACAACTGCTCTTTCTCAGGCTCCCTTCACCACTCCCTAAATACAGCTGTTCCCATAGATTTGTCCTTCCTTTTCCTCCCCAGTGCTTGCCAATTCACTTCAATCAGCCCCCTGCTTGGGTGACTCTCAAAGGTACTCTCCCCGCCTTCATCTCTCTCCTGATGTCCCTTGTCCAATGATCAGGAACACAGACATCTGCCCCTTAAAGTTCCAGTGGCAAGGGTACCTGCATAACGAACATTTGCATACCTAAATCTGTACTGCACCCCACATCTTTAAAATTTAAAATTAAAAAGAAAGTCCCAGTGGCAGCAAGGGCACATCTTCTGTGACTCTGAGGAAGTATAAGTAGTCTTCTCCCAGCAAAAAAAAAAAAATTCAAAACAGT